GGATTGTTTTCTTTTCTTTTTTCTGCAGATAAAATCTCATGGAGTGGTATTCTGGAAGTGGTATTGATGATTTTGTGGTTCCAGAGGATCGAGAAGTATATGATAGGCTTCCATCACCAGAGAGTTGGTCGAAATGGTGTGCAGATGCATCAGAAAGTCATGAGTTTTCTAACAAACGCTTTCTTATGGATTCAAAATTGACTGGGGAAGAACTCAAATTCAATGGTGAAATTTCTAGCAAAGAAGTTGAAAGTTTCTACAATGTTAAAGATCAGTCTAGTGGTTCAAGCATCAGTGGAAGATTATCTGAAGAGTCACTTCCCCAAACTGCTCTTTCATGTGACCAGCCAGATTACCAGCTTGATGATCTTTCAGAAATCGAACAACTGGATGAATTTTTCCTGTACAAGCGTAACTTCTGGGATTAATTTAATGCCTTTAAGAAATCATGTAGAATCAAATGTTCTGTAGCTTGTCATATTGATTAGCAGCATGCTTGGACACCCCATGGAAATCGAATGCTCCCGTAGTTGTGTGCGCTAAAACACTACTATCCATCATGAAAAAATGGTTAGAATTCCTGGTTCCTACAAATGGATTATACCAGTATTTGCGGTGATGGCACCTATCTTTGTGCCGCCTTCATTATATGACAATCTCTTGTGCCTGCAGCGCTACATGTGACATAATAGAGCCATTCAATATCCATGGGGTGCCCAACATCTCCCTACATGTGGTTGTTATTTCTATCAAATATGATGCTTCCTTATTAATCTTATTAATCTTTTCTCATTTCCATTTGTTGCAGGAGTTCCTTTCTTGAGGATCTACCCAGGAATGAAAATCTTAATGGCTCGTTTTGCTTTTCTGCTGAAGCAGATTGTGGCATGGCATCTGCTGACAATTGCTTCACAGACACAATGTCAGATTTGCAAAGTATCTCAAATGATGCACATGGCATGGGAAGCTCAAAGTATCTCAAAACACATGCATTTTCTCCATCATTAAGTTGGGAGGAAGGTGAAGTTGCTGCCTCACACTTCAATCCATGCAACTCAGACCAAAAGGATTTGGCATCGGTAAAGGTGAGATTTTCAATCTCTTTATTACCTTTAATTCAATGATTGACCATATATTTTTCACAAATTTCCTATAATGAAATTCATGGTTCATACTAAATCTTTGATAAGCTTTAAAGACCCTAGCCCTGCCCTGTTGCCTGTACTTGTTTCTTGGATGAAGAGAGGGTTTTATTGTTGTAGGTATACATGCATATGCACATTTTTTTTTATTCACTGTGGACCTAGCACAATTTAATCCATAGTTCTGTATGAGCTCCTTGATTTGGGTTTAGAAAAAATATTGGTTTTTTTTTTTTTTCCGGTTTCCTTTGCCTATCTTAACAATAATATTGACGAGGTTCTTTCATTTCTTGCTTATGAGGATATCCATTTTAATCATTATAGGAGGACTTCTTTTACTCTCGTCTTTGGCAACACAGAGAATTCAGCTCTGCTTGTTCCTGGGATACATTCTGTGTAAAATTTGTTTGTTGTATCATGAACATAGAGTGCGTTTAAATCCACAAGGGTGGAGTCTAATTTCATGCACCTATCATGGACATATTTGGGCGAAACATCATCAAAGAAACCACAGGCACGTGGAATTAGGCTCCAGCCTTGTTTAGACCTGACCTAGATTTTGTTGTTTGTTGTCACACCAGTGTCTCCAGACATGAAAATTAGACACAATCACCTGCAAATTATGCCGAATGGGGCAGTCAAGGCCTCAGTGTCTTAGGCCTGCCACTATCTCAGCTAATTGTGATATAAATACTCATTGGTTATGACCATAGCATACTTTCTATATTCTTTTGGAAATTTTATTTCATCAAGTTTTTGTATGAGTCAACATTTGTTTCATCATGTATTGTTTGCCCATATAATGGTACTAGCTATATTTATACACTTGGCTTATATTTCCTTCAAGAAACTCCTTTCTCAAAACATTTTTGGCCTACATCGACTCCAAACACCCATGCCATTGGACAGTTGGTTGAATTTCTAAAAACGTTTTCTGGTGTAGTCTGGAAAATTAATAACCTTTCCCTTTTTTGCATAACAGTAGATCTTAGTTAGCATTCTGCTTTCATCTATATACACATACTACCTGTGACGAATAGCAAGAGAGTTGAGAGAAATGCAAGAACAGATGCCTATTGGTTCCAATGAAGATTTTTAGTTTATGAGACTTGCAAGTTCAACTAATCATGGTAATGTTTTTTCAAGGCATCGCTGGTTAATGTCTTGGTCCCTTCTGAGCATGATAGTATGATTGGACTTGTTGACGAGAAATCATCTCTTCAACAATCTGCGCTACAGGAGCTAGAAATGGTTATGGCCCAGGTATAACACAACATCCTAAGAGCACCCTTTTTTTAACAAGCAAAACCATATCCTAATGATTTATTTTTTCTTTTCAGTTAAATGATAAGACTAGAATTTGCTTTCGTGATGCCTTGTACCGGCTAGCCAGCAATTCAAAGCAACATCCAATAAAACAGGACCAAAATGGAGACCTGTACATGGAAACACTGGGTACCGGTGAAGATGAGAAAATGGGGTACTTGCACAATATTTGCCTAATGCTTATAATCTTTCTATGCTATCCCACTTCTCTTTTTTTTTAATTAGAATGCTTATCTCATTATAATTTAAGGCCTTAATATTTTAAGGTTGTTCTCTTAAAACTGATTGCTGTCAAGTACTGACAATCAAAATAGAAGTATATCTGGAAATGGGTTGATGACCAGAGCTCTTATCTCTGTTAGTCTCCAACTGATCCTGAGATTTTGTTATGTATAGCTATTAACCCGGTAAGCGTACCCTGAACTTTTTTGGTAAATGGTTGGCATTATCTATCTTCACATATACTACTTTCATGTCGCTCTCATATCAATTAGGATTCAACATTAGCAACTGGAAGTAATTACATAAACTGACAACTCCCATGTAAATCTCTTCAAACAAAAACAAATGCATCACATCAGTGGTATTTGGGTGATCAAGCATCTGTTGAGTTCCATTTACTTCACTGCATATGTCCTTGTATAATGCATTGATAATCGAGCTATCTTGATAAGAAAGTGAGCTTCATGTTCAGGTCTGGTGGAAAGACAGCAATCGAAATGGAGACCAACGCCATTGACAGAACCATTGCAAATCTCATGTTCAGTAAGATGGACCTAAACATGCGAGATTTTCCTGTCTCAGCACCAGTAAATTCCAAGCAAGGAATTTCCAGAGAAACAAAACCTCTAAATTGCCGCTGGAATGAGCCTCAAGTCCACGATCTCCCTTCCTATCCAAGTTTCCGAGGTGATGCTGAGGTTCCAATCCTTGGTCATGGATATCGACAGATAAGAGCAAATCCAGGCAAGCATACGTGAAGAAATCCTGAGAGAAGATTTTCTAAGTTTATAGTAATGTTTTTCAAAAGTAGGTCGAAGCCAACAATCCTTGAATAAGTATTGTACTCATCTAAAAAAGCTTGAAAGATCCTCTTGAAGTGCTTATCTCATATGTATATACCAGAGATTTATGTATAATTAGTATGCATGGTTAGGTGCTAGGTCGGATAACTTGCTGCATCCACTCAGCTCAGTTTTGGTAGGTGCATATACAGATGGATTCAGTAAGCAGTGACATACAAGCTAATGCATTTGTTGTTCTTGTTTACTCTCAGTCCAGCAAATCAGTACTGATCCATGTCTTTGAGACTTGTCCGTCTTCTTCACTGCATGCTGTGAATATCCATTTGTCTTCAACTTAAGTTCTATTGGCTTTCAATGAGATGTTCGAATTCAAGATTTTTTAACGGAAGGACATCGATTTGTTAACGGCCGGAATCATCCTCTTGTTTTTTCTCCCCTCGGCTCAGGAAAACAATACGAAAAGAACAGACATTTCAAAAGCTTTTTTTCCATCAAGGAAACTCTCTTTCTTTTTTCTTTTTACATTTTAAATTTATTTTGACTTCTGTTTTTTGGTGAATTTATTAATGCAATTGTCAACCATAAGGTCAGCTAAACCAAAAAATAATAAGAATAAAAACAAAAATCCTGAGGGTAACTGTATAGATGATAAAAAGCAACAGAGTAATGGTGCAATTAGCCTTTATTATTATTATTATTATTATTTTTGATGTTGACAACAAACCCATTGATTTGCAGTTTAGCACATGTTATTAATTATTGTTTTTTACTTTCTTCTTTATTTTATTTTTAATTTATCCAATGCTTCAATGCAAAATTTCCCGAATATTAACAAAACTCAAGTTATACTTGATGAAAATGTTAATTATAATAATTTATTTTGGAAAAAAATAAAATAATATTTTTTTAATAAAAATTATTAATCTAACTTTATCGAGAAACCATAAACCTGAATTTTTTTTTTCGAGTTCTTCCTCGAATTTGGCAGCTATCCTCTAATTAACATGGATGCAACTTCTTTTTTATTTATTTTAAATTAGGGTAGAATTAGAGATATATTTGGAAAAATCAACTAACAAATAAAAGTTTTACCAATTCATCATTCAATTATATGTCATAAATTAACAAATATATTGATAATTTCGCTGGCAAGAGCCGCAAAGTTTTCAAGTTGTTCAGCTAAAAGAACTACCAGATTAGCCTATTTATTCAATGGCTTCAAGAAAGCATCAGATCTTTGCCAGCAGTCGATCCAAGAACAACAACTATCAAACTATCTTTAGGGTAATTACAGAACTAGAAATTTTTAACCATAAATCAAATGTAATATAAGAACAAGGAACTGAAGAAAGTCTCGACTCTTCCTTGCGGAAATACATAGAAAATTAAGAACAAACCACCTTAGTTGAACGTGCATGCCTCAACTCTATTCTTCTTATATATGCACCACCGCCACCGCCACTAAGCCTACCAAATTAAGCCCACCAAGGACTTGCAAGCCTCCATCATGCCAACCCCACCATCAACCCCACCATATCCTCTCACGCCGGTACAGACTCGGCCCCGGTCGCCATCGACCTTTCCATCACCCCCAACCTCCCCATCTTCTGGAATGACAAACCCAACGTCTCCAACCCAGCCTGCTATCTCCCTCCATCAACCAAATGGCAAGAAGGGTTCTTCAAAGCACAATAAGATATTCCGCCGTGTCCGGGCTGTTTTCCGGTCATTCCCTATCATCACTCCAGCATGCAAGATCCCCGTCTCGCTCCACGGAAACCGCCTCCATGACGGGCACGTTGGTGGGACCCGCATGACCGGAACCCTGTTTGGGCATCGGAAAGCTAGGGTTAGTCTTGCCATCCAAGAAAGCCCCGGGTCCCTGCCTATTTTATTGCTTGAACTCACAATTCCCACAGGAAAACTCCTCCAAGATATGGGAGTGGGGCTTGTTAGGATTGCCTTAGAATGTGAGAAGAAGGCAAATGATAAGACCAAGATTGAGGACGAGCCGATATGGACATTGTTTTGTAATGGTAGGAAGTGTGGTTATGCGGTCAAGAGAGAGCCAACCGATGAAGATTTAAATGTAATGCAAACCTTACGTGTTGTTTCAATGGGAGCTGGTGTAATACCTACCGGAGATGGAGCAGATCAGCCTGCAGATGGAGAATTAACGTACATGCGGGCATTCTTTGAACGTGTGGCAGGGTCCAAAGACTCAGAGACCTATTATATGTTGAATCCTGATGGAAACAACGGACCAGAACTAAGCTTATTCTTCGTCAGGCTTTGATCAGAAAGGTAAGGCAATTTTTGTGGACTAATTCTAACGATTGAGATTAATACCTCCTGATCCTTCTGCTGAAGGTTTATAGAGTTGATCTTTTGCAAATGAATTGGTAAGTTATGAAACTGTCGATGGAGGTTATGGGAAAAGTTCGAGAGCAAGAGAATTGAGTGCATGCAAGACAAAATCTTCTGCTGTCGGATTTGAGGGTGGCCTGGTTTCTGGGGGAGGAAGGGCTGACTTTGTTTAATTTGGGTGATTATTTTCAGAGAATGTTTTTTTTTTTTTGGTTACATTACTTATAGGGACTTAATTTTAGGGTTGATGGGAAGTGAAAATCCCAGTAGAGATCTTGTCATGCCCTTTGAAAAAAGGCAGAAACAACCATGTAAAACTTGATTGTACGTAACACATTAACTGATCATCATTTCATGAGAGTAAATGTAAAGAACAATGGAAGAAAAGTGCAGAGTCGCACTCCAATTAAATAATTAATTGTATGTGTTAAAACTGCTAACTCTTGCAGAGACTATGGATTAATGGGGCTTGCATGCATCTCTCAAAGCAACTTTAGACTGACTGATATGATCTTAATTTTCTGATTTGATAGTTTTACTATCAATTATATTTGTGTGCATTTATACTTCCATAGATACGAGAATGCCTAATTGTAGTTGATAGTAATTGTCAATTGAGCTAGATCAAAAGTTTAAGAACTATATTAAATAGTGAGATAATCCTTAGACTGTTAATAGGGTTAATGATGTTTATTAGAATTATCACATATACAAGGAATATTGCCGCAAATAATCGTTTGTTGGTATGGATATGATTGTTTTTTAAATAGTTTTTGTATTAAAATATATGTTAATAATATTTTTTTACTTTTTAAAAATTATTTTTGATATTAGTATATCAAGATAATTTAAAAATATTAATTTAAAATAAAAAAAAATTAAT